ACTAAAAGGATAACAAAATGGTCTTCTTTACTTGCAACCACTGCGGTGAATCGGTGAAGAAACCATCTGTGGAGAAACATTACAACACCAAGTGTCGGAACCGTGTCAAAAATGTCTCCTGTATGGATTGCCAGAAAGATTTCCATGCCGAAGAGTATGTGGCCCACACAAAATGCATTACAGAATTGGAAAAATATTCCGGCAAGAATTTTGTGCCACGTGAATCGCTAAATAGTGGACAAAAGAAACAAGATACCTGGATGGATATTGTTCGGTCCATTTTGAATTCCCAAGAATATGACCTGTCACCTCAGACCCGTAATATTTTCCAAAGACTACAGAGTTACGATAATGTACCACGTAAGAAGGCAAAATTCCAAAACTTTGTGGCCAATTGTCTGCGGGTGCCGGGCAAACAAGCTGAGCCTGTATGGGCTGTGTTGGAAAAGGAATTGGAAAATATGAAAAAAGCCAAGCAGGAAGAAATGGCTGCTGCTAAGAAAGCTCAGGAGGAGGCGAAAAAGGCAAAGGAGGAAGCTAAACCCCAACAAAATGGTGTTAAACGCAAGGCGGAGGAGGCTGAGCAGACGAATGGTGACGACAATGTTGAGAAAAAGAAGAAAAAGAAAAAGGCTGATACCACCACGGAACAGGTGGAAGAAGTGGCGACGGAAAATGGTAATGCCGAGACAATAGAAGAAAGTGAAGAATTCCAATGGTCAACTGTGCTAGAGAAACTTGTAGCCAAAAATCCCGAAGGAATTTCTTTGGAAAAACTTAAAAAGAAACTGCTTAAGAAATACAAATCCAAATTAGCCCTAGAAGAATTAACGGAAAAACAACAAAAGAAGTTTGAAAAGAAATTCTCCAAAACCCTAAAGAAATGTCCAGCTATACAAGTCGAAAATGAAGTGGCCAAACCATGCTAACACCACAGATATAAAACATTTATAGTTTTTAAGTATATCTTGTTTGTAAGTTTTTTTAGAATAATTGAAAAGTATATTTTTGTAATATATTAAAGCAATTTGAAAAACCACAAAACATGTTGCAGTTTTTGTTATTTACACCAATCAATGAAACCTTCAACTTTATACCAAACATTTTGTAAAAACCACAACAATTTGTATAGACATAATTTCCGTTGCATGCAGTTGCCGAAATCTGAAAATTATTCAAAGAAGTAGACAAAAGATGTTTCCGTGGTATTTCATTAACTGGTATAATTGCATTTAAATTTTATTTGTTTTTCAAACAATTTTACTATAAATATTCTTGGATATCTTTGAAATCATCATCAGTTCTTCTGTACATCTCTCAGTGGCAATACAACAGCAAAGAAATCTAGAAAAAATATGTCTTCATATTTTACCAACTTATTCAGTTTTGCCTTCCTCGCATTGTTGGCTGTAACATTTGCCGCTCCGGGACATTTACATCATCATCACCATCATTCGGTAGCCGTTGTCGAACATCATCCTGTTGTGGTGCATAAAGCAGTTGTCGTCCACAAACCAGTAGTTGTTCACAAACCTGTCGTGGTACACAAAGCTGAGGTGGTGCATGTACCAGTTGTGGAACATCATCCAGTAATTGTCCACCATCCAATTCATCATCATCATCCCCACCACCATCATCATCATTTACATCACTGAAATGGCAGCGAATGGAACTGAATCGATACACTGAACAAACGATCAAATGCTGGAATGAAAATTTGAGGCTACGATTTTATAACGATTTTTTATATTAGTTTTTATAACATGCACAATAAACATAAAAATATGTTTTAAAATTAATAATTTTTAGGCTTTTATTTTTTGTACCTTGGTTTCAGTGATTTTAGAGGAAGGGCTCAGACAAGCTGAATATTAATCTTAATTATTTTATTCTTAACATTGACAATAACCTAGTGTCTTATGTTTCAAATAATATAGATAGATCTCCAGATTCTGTTTCACTTAACCTTAACTTTTAACTTTTTTTGAATAAAAATGCAGTAAAATGTTCAATAATGGAGATATTTGGATTAAATTTTGAGTAATCATTCTTGAGGTATTTTTACACATAATTGAAGAAAAAATTATAAATATTTTCCATATATATAATTTTTACAAATTTTTAAAGTTATTACCTACGTAGTTCGATAACCGAGGTACATTTGTAATCATCCAAAGATAGCGGTATAATTTATTAAAATATCAGACTGTCGTCCGGTTTTCTGTTTTAAATTAGTCTATACGGTTCTGATCTATATGTAGGACCTAAAAATTATATATACATTAAGAGAATATATATTTTAATCCATGTTTAAATGATAAGCTATCTAAAACAGTCAGTGTAAATTCGTTATATCTTTTGAATGGGTTAAGCTTTTAGATATATGTATATTTTGTTCTTTGGCGTCAATTTTTATCCTAAATGGCCTAGATTTTTAGCCTCCAAGAATTGTTTTTTTTTTTAGAATTTGTAGACTTTTTAAAATAATTTTTTAAGCTTCTTTGGTGGGGATTTAAAGGCTTCTACAGAGTGGCGTGGATTTTTAGGTTTCCCAGACGTTAATTTTATGAAGACCAAGACCTTACGCTTCTAAGGCGTGGATTTTTTAGCCTCCGAGGTGTAGATTTTTTGATTATTTTTAAGGCTTCTATGCCTGGCTTTTTTAGCCTCCGAGGCGTAAATTTTTTAAAGAAATTTTTACGCTTCTACGGCATGGATTTCTTAGCCTCCGAGGCGTAGATTTTTTAAAGAAGTTTTTAGGCTTCTAAAGAGTTTTACCCCTGAGAAGCAGATTTTTTTAAAGAAATTTTTAGGCTTCTATGGCATGAAATTTTTTAGCCTCGGAGGCGTAGATTTTTTAGGCTTCAAAGGCGTGTATTTTTTTCTATGGCCTGGATTTTTTAAAGATTTTTTTAGACTTCTAAGGCCTGGATTTTGTAGCCTCCGATGCGTAGATTAAAAAAAAATTGTTAGACCTGAATTATTTAACCTCCGAGGCGTAGATTTTTTAAAGATTTTATTTTTATCCTCCGATGCGTAATTTTTTTAAAGAATTTTATAGGTCTCTAAGGCGTGGATTTTCTATCCTCCCTTGGGTATTTCTATTAAAGAATTTTTTAGGATTCTAACGCGTGGATTTTTTAGCCTCCGAGGCATATATTAAAAAAATAGGCTTCTAAGGCCTCAGAGGCTAGATTTTTTTAGGATTCTAAGGCCTGGATTTTGTTGCCTCCGAGACGCAGATTTTTAAAATATTTTTTAGGCTTCTAGACGTGGATTATTTAGCCTCCGAGGCGTATAACTTCTAAGGCGTGGATTTTTAGGTTTCCAAACCGTAATTTTAAAGGTGTTAATTTTTTAGCCTTACAAGGCGTGGATTTTTAAGGAGAATTTTAGCATTCTAAGCCGTGATGCCGTGGGTATCTTAAAAAATTCTTTAGGATTTGTTCCAAGGTGTGGACTTTTAGAATATTTTAGCCTTCCAAGCCATGGTGCGTTTCTAAGTTTTTTTAAGCGTTGTTAGCTTTCCAAGGCGTGAATCTGCGGGTTTTGGAGAGGAGTTTTGAGAAATATGACCGAGTCCCTATGATCTCAAAATCGAATTAAATAACCATTTTTAACATCTTATTTATGTTACATGACCTCCTTTAGCGATTAACGGTTTATTTCAGCACCGTTTCCAACGGAGATTTGTGCTGCCGTGGTCGACCTTAAATATAAAAATTATAAAATGTTCGTATATTCCGAATCCTCTGTGCTCATTAGCCGGTTATTACTGTACTCTACAGTCTACTGCATTAATAAACACCCAACTCAAACATTAGCTTAAAGTGGTAACTCTACCCTCGTCCAAAGAAGAATAGAAAATATACCGTTATAATTTTTATTAAAACATCTGGCAATGTTAATTTCAACAAAGAATATAAAGCCAAGCATTTTTTTTAACAAAATATCATCTTTATTGCAAAACAGTTTTCAGTAATATTATATTTTTTAACAAACGGTAAGTCATTATTCCCTCTCAATATCTTTAATAAACTTCCAAAGAATTTTCCAAAATTGTTGCCAAATTATCACGAGATTGTTCGAATGGAGCCAATTTCAAGACACGTTGTTGTGGCAAAGCACCCTCAACCAAATCAGGAATGTCACTCGAATTAAAGCCAAGACCTTTGAGACCATTTTCAATGCCAGCCTTTTGCATATAACCACGAATGCAATCACCTAAAATGCGGCCAGCATCGGCCTTTTTCGCTTGACTGATGTCAGCACCTAAAAGTTGAGCGGCTTCCAAGTGACGTTCGGGAATGGCAGGTGCGGTAAATTCAAAAACAGCAGGTGCTGTTATTACCACAGACAACCCATGAGGTATAATGGGGTGATCTTTGTCATAACCATTGGGACAGAAGGTGCGGACACGTCCCGATATGGGATATGACAGACCGTGGGGTAAATGTACACCAGCATTACCGAAACCAACACCGGCCATTGTTGAGGCCAAATGCATTTTGGAGCGTGCATTTAAATGATCAGGTTGATAAATGGCATCGATGAAATTATCACGTATGGTCGTTAGGGCGTAACGGGCCCAAACATCGGAAATTGGATTACGTCCCTGATACACCGGGCGTAGACTGGGATCGCTGGGCATTTCACGTTCTTTATAATCAATGGCTGTGAAACTTTCCAAGGCATGGCAGAATACATCGAAGCCACTATAGGCTGTTACTCTTTCCGGTTGGGAAAGGGCATGCAAGGGATCAATTAGGGCTGTAAACAAAACACATTAATTTTTGCTTATATTATTTTATAATGTATTTTCTTACCCATTTTTGGTCTCAAATATTTACTTGAGATACCAGTTTTACAATGCAGCTTTTTGTAATCGAAAATAATTGCCCCAGTCGATTCGGAACCAGTACCGGTGGTAGTAGGCAATGCATATAACGGCTTCAGGGTTACATTGACTTCTTTACCCTTACCTATGGGTTTATTAACATAATCCAAAAATTCCGCTTCATTATCGCAGGAATACAAATTGGCAGCTTTACATGTATCAATGACGGAACCACCACCAATTGCCACAAAACAATCAAATTCCTTGGAACGTGCAAATTTAACAGCATTCTTTAAACTTTCATCGGTCGGTTCTACACGAGTTTGATCGTAAACATCAAATTCGATGCCATATTTTTTCAACGAATCAAAAGCTGTCTTAACACTAGCCAATTTCACAACATTTCGATCAGTGATCACAGCAACATTTTTTGCACCGGCATTACGCAAATCAGCTCCTAGTTCAGCACTGACGCCGGGTCCGAAGCGTACGGTCGATGAGGACATCTGAAAAATAAAAATAAATATGAGAATCGGAGAAAATTTAGATATATCTCCCATATATATTTAAGATAGAGCTGTGAAGATTTTTACCCCTAACAAGAGATAAAAATTAGCTTGACTAACATTTGATCTTCACATAAAATAATTAAAAAATCTACACTTAGCTATGATCTCCAAAAAATAATATTTAAAACATCTACAGTAGTTATGGCCTCCAAAATATAATATTTCATAATCTAAGCTTAGGTATGATCTCAAAAAAAAAAATAATATTGAAAACATCTACGCTTAGCTATAGCCTCGAGTGAGTAGCGTCTTCTTAAGCATGGTGCTAAAATCTTAATCAGGTGTCCTGATAATTGTAATGGAAAACTTCCTAAATTATTTCATTGCTATATAATTTAAGTGGGCCCTTGATTCAATGTTTCTCCTGGACTATGTTTCGGAATTAGCCATGTCGATTATTTAACTGGATTTGAAATTAAATCCTTAGAACTATAAATGTGCAACTTTCTTATTAAATCTTGTTCGACCTAAATAGCTTATCATTTTAAATAGCACTATAAAATAGGTATAAATAATTGTAGTCATCAGACACAAATTATCTATACAAACATTATTATGTGAAAATTCCCTATTGATAAGAAATGGGCGTAACCAAAGAACAAGCCTCCAAAATCTGAGGATGTAACACAAACTGCGTCAGAAGAGTTCCAAGGTATCATCAGCAGACATTTCTGTAATTATGCTTAGAGATCACATCCTATATACATATGTCATGTGCCTATCTGATTATGAAGTCTGTTCCAAATGCAAAATTGAATTGCCAACAGCAACTGACGTAGACAACAATCTACTGGTCAAAGTCCATTTAGTTATTTTTGTTTTCATAGACGACTAATAAAATCTGTCTACAAAACATCCAACCAACCTCAAATGCGTATTCCTTTTTGCCAGTTTGGGCAGCAGCCACACTGGATCCATAACCACTGGAATGTGCTGGACATTTACACCTAGTAAAGGATCGGATAATTAATTCGATGTGATATTAGTACATATCTAACAAACTGGACTTACGTGCTGCCAACGACAGTATTTAATAGATTCAAAACATTTTTCCGTGACATACTGACTGTTGTGACCGGTACTTCGATTCTTGACTAACTAATGTTTACTTCTGCAGTGTCTACGTTCCAAGACCGTGGATGTTTAAAAACTCTTCTTCGACTGTGTGTCTACGTTCCATTTTTATGTAGGTAGATGATAACGCACAGATCTTTGGCCAGCTGTTAAAACCAAAATAAACAGAGAGAGGAAGAGGGAGAGAAAAAGAAGTGAACAGATCAAGAGGTAAAAGGGGAAAGGGAGAGTTGAAAATAGTTGGTGATGCTAATTTGGCGTTTTTAGTTATTATTTTAAAATACGTCAACTTGTGGAATTTCTACAAGCATTTTTATTAGTGTTAGTTGTGTTCGTTTATCTTTCCATTGAATATTCTGTGTATAAAGGTTACGATATCAATGAAAAATAATGCAAAAAGGAAAGTATTCTTCAAAAAATATTTACTTAGTTATGGTCTCCAAAAATATTTTTGTTTATACCCTCCACCATAATATGGAGGGTATATTAATTTTGTCATTCCGTTTGTAACACATCGAAATATTCATTTCCATGCCTATAAAGTATATATATTCTTGATCAGGGTAAAATTCTAAGGCGATTTAGCCATTGCCGTCCGTCTGTCCGTCACGCTATCTTCTGAAGCAATTGAGATAGGGTGCTGAAATTTTGCATAGGGTTGTCTTTTGTCTGCAGGCAGGTTAAGTTCAAAGATAGGATATATCGGTCCACGTTTGGGCAAAGCTCCCATATAAGGGTACTCCCAAATTTTCGGTATATTGGGGTTCTTAACCGTGTTTTTCAGCCAAATTCGCTGAAATTTGGTACGTTAGGTTCTTATTGGGTACTATATGTCTCCACAAAAAATTATGAGTATAGGTCCACTTTTTCTGGTAGCCCTCATATCACGGCACCTCCTATTTTTCAGTATTTTGGGGTATTTTATCGTATTTTTTCCACCGAATTGGCTGTAATTTAGTATTTTGAGTTCTTAATAGGTACCAAATTTCTCCATAAAAAATTATGAATATAGATCCATTTTTTTGGGTAGCCCCCATATAAGGGTATCCCCAATATTCGTTATTTTGGGGTTCTTGAGCGCGTTTTTTAACCGAATTCGCTGCAATTTGGTATTTTGTAGTCGTATATGGTAACAAATCTCCCTACCAAAAATTATTTATATTCGTCCCCTTTTTGGGGTAGTCCCCATATAACCCCCTTTTTTATATTAAAGGATAACGACATAAAGCTAGAACGTAAGGTTCGATAATGAACTATACATGAACTATAACACGCATTTAGGCCTAGCCCCTGTGTGGGAGGTATCAGAAGGAGTGGACCGATAGTCCACATCTTCGAACCTGTACTAAGTTTGGAAGAAATAATAAGATAGCCACAGGTTGGATGAAATCAAAATTTTGTGGGACATGGTTCACATTATGGATTACATAATCGCGTTGTAGAAATGTCGGTATAGGTTCACTTTTTGGTATTTTCCCTACATTTTCATTTCAAGTACCTGTCAGTATATCTATGTTGGAGGGTATCCAAAGTTCGGCCCGCCCAAACTTAACGCTTTTTCACTTGTTAAATCTATTCTTAGCAAGGACCTCAAAAAATATTCTTTAAAGAGTATTCCAAAAAATATGTCTTAAAAAATCTACGCTAACATTTTTTTAAAAAAACATTCTTTAGAAAAAATGCGCTAGCGTATGGTCTACGTTTATTTGTCTCCAAAAACTATCCTTTATAAAATCTACGTTTAGTTGTCTCCAAAAACTATCCTTTATAAAATCTACGTTTCCAAAAAATATTCATTTTTAAAATCTACGCTTAATGGTATCGAAAAATTATTATTTAAATAATCTACTGTTAGCTATGCTCTCCAAAAAATATTCTTTATAAGATATACTCTTAGCTATGGTCTCTAAAAAATCTTGACAAAATCTATGCTTAGCTATGTTCTCCAAAAAATATTCTTTAAAAAATCTACGCTTAGCTATGATCTACAAAAAATATTCTTAAAAGAATCTACAATTAACTAGGGTCTCCAAATATATTCTTTAAAAAAATCTACTCTTAGCGTTGGTCTTCAAAACATATTAATTAAATATCAACGCTTTGCTATGGTCCCCAAAAATATTTTTAAAATACTTGTTTTTTAATCGAAACTGGCTATATGTAGTATTCAAAAATATTTCCGATTTGACTGACAAAATTACATGCTACATGTTACTAACCTTTAACTATCCCTTCTCATTTTCCAGATCATAAAAAATCTGAATAATGGCTGAATATGATTTATCATTTAAATTCAACGACGACGATGATGATGATAATGATATGGACTACAATAATGATTTTGCTGATTTCATTGGTGATATGCAAGATTTTGAAGCTATGTGGCAAGATATTGGTGAAGAAATCCACCAAAAAGAAGAAAATGAACGATTTCAGAAAATGTTCCACCAACAGCTGTTCATATCGGAAGGCTTTGAAAGATCAACGTTTGAACGATATATTTAAATATTTATTAATTATCTATATATATTTTATTTAAACGTATTATTATTATTATTTTATTATTATATTTTTAGATTTATGATTTTTTTAACATAACTTAAATATTTGTTAGCATTTAAAAAACAAAACACACATTAATTGGTTTATTTAAATTGAAACTGTACTGTGATAAAAGAAAAGTTCCTTGTATAATTCACATAGCTGTGATATAATTAAAAAAAAACCTAAATACAATATATTTGCATGTAAGCAATGTAATTTTGGTTAGCATTTATATAACGATTTGTTATGATGGATTTATAAACAAAACCTTTCCTGAAATTAATAATCGTTTTATCGATTTTTTATCATTTACCGATCGTTTTGTTATTTTTGAAATCTTCGTTTAAAATAACACGTATTGTCTATATAACTATAAAATAATTTATTTTATTATTATAATTTAAATTCAAACGATCGCATATGTATATGAACCACGCACATATAATTCTATTTTAGTATTGAAATACTTTCTAAAAATTAAAAGTTAAATAAAACAGGAACACAGTTTTAAAAGTACACATTTCAAACTTAAGTTAAACTTCATATTAACTTAAGATTCTGAAGATTTTTCTGTTATTGTAAATATATAAATTGTTATTATTCATTAATTATGTATTGCTTATATTTATATAAGTATAATTTTAATTAAAAAAAATCTTCAAACGATTAAAAAAATAAAAAACACATTTTATATACAAATATTTTGATTTATTTTAACGTATTTAATAGGGAAATATTTTATTTTAGATTTTTTTAAAATAATTTTTCGGGAACAAGACCATTGTTAAGTGTAGATTTTGTAGCGTAGATTTGCATATTTTTTGAATAATATATTTTGGATATCATAGCTAAGCGTAGTTTTCTTTAGAAAATTTTTCGGAGACCATAGCTAAGCGTAGATTTTTAAAGAATATTTTTCGGAGACCATAGCTAAGCGTAGATTTTTAAAGAATATTTTTGAGACACAATTGTAGATTTTTTAAAGAATATTTTTGAGAACATAGTAAAGCGGAGATTCTTCAAAGAATATTTTTTGGGTCGATATTTTTTGAGTCGATCTAGTCATGTGTGTCCGTCCGTCTGTCTATTATAATTTGTAAACACGATACAGGCCACAGTTATGGACCAATCTTCACGAAATTTTGCATGTAGGTTGGGTTCTGGCCAATGAAGACCCCTATTGTTTTTGGTGGAGATCGCTTAATATTTAGGGGATGAAATAGACCAAATTCTAAATTTTTGTCGGTTTTTCTGGTCGCTCCAGAGGCCGCAATTATAGCCCGAACATCGTGAAATTTTACATGGAGAAGGGGATCGGGCCAAAGAATAAGCATGCCTGTTTGGATAAAGATCGGTCAATATTTAGCGGGTCAAATGGACCCTGACTTTTGTGTGAAAAATTACAAAATTTGTATTATATAGCGTATATATTTACTCCTGAAGGACATAGACCCGAGAAGTTGATAATATATCCAAGAGGAGAGGTTGGCCTTTAAATTGATACCAATTATATTGTCGTATGTACTCGGATGGGGGAGTTACATGTACCTATTTTCAGGTGCTTACGTATTCAGATATTATTTAGTAAACCATTACCACACTGGAGGACGGAAATATAGAGCGGATTGCTTTGGTAGGTTCCAGTTATGGTCAAGGACAACGCCTATAATTTTCAGCGATGATGAGATAACAATTTTGGGATGAAGTGGACCGAAAACTTAAATTTTTGTGTTTTTCGAGTCGATCTACCACACGGTGAAGGGAATCTGGACAAATAATTAGAAGGGCTGAATTAGTAATTAATACTGAATTTAAGTAATATTTGTGGACCTCTAGTCGATCAAGAGGGTGCAAATATCGCGAAATAGTGTCCATGCTCAGAATATAGAACCAAAGAAAGTTAGATTTTCGTCGAAGTTGTGTAGGGTATCATATGGTCGGCCCCGTCCGACTGGTTTAAAGAATATTTTTGAGAACATAGTAAATCGTAGATTCTTAAAAGAATATTTTTTTGAGACCTCAACTAAGCGTAGATTTTTTGAAGAATATTTTTAGGACCATACCTAAGCCTACATTTTTTATAGAATATTTTTTGGAGACCATAGCTAAGCCTAGATTTTTTAAAGAATATTTTTGGAGACGATTTTCAAAGAATATTTTTGGAGACCAAAGTTAAGCGTAGATTTTTTAAATAATTTTTTCCGAGACTGTAGCTATGTGTAGATTGTTTAAGGAATATTATTTCGAGACCATACCTAAGTGTAGATTTTGTAAAGAATATTTTTTTCGAGACCATAGCAAAGCCGAGATTTTTATACCCTTCACCACACTGTAGTACAGGGTATTATGTCTTTGTGCATATGTTTGTAAGAGGCAAAAGGAAACGAGATAGACACATGGTTCCTTTTGAGAATATGCATAGAATCACCTTTGATGTCGATTTATGCATGTCCGTCCATC